TTTTTTAAATACAGGTAGTTCTTATGACTGTAATTGAGCCCAGAATTAAAGTCATATGCCATGCCAACTGTTAAGAGCCAACCTGACCTTACTGGTTTTTACTATTATTGCTAAGCAAATCACCATAGTCATTAAGAAACTCATTGTCTGGAATGGACTTTTTTATTTGCCTGAAACCAGAAGTAAATGCTGCTTTCCAGGAAAAGAACATCATAAATTGTGGTCATGTGACCAAAGAATTGGCAAACAGTCATAAATGCAGGCAAGTTGCAGAGTGCCCAAAATGTGATCATGTGATTGCAGGCTGGGAGAGGAGGCTGTCGTAACTTTGAATCCAGATTGTAAGTACCTCTTTTTTTAGTCCATTTTACTTTTAAATGTTCACTAAGTGACCCGTCATAAATTGAGGACTATCTGTATTGAGAATTCTATATCCAATATGAATGAAGACCTGAAAAAACCAGTGGTACATAGAATTTCTCAGATATAGACCAGCCTACTTCAGTTTTTTTTTTGCCCACAACAGGTACAGCTGACTATGGCAAAGAAAGAACCCAAGGAATGCAGTTTTCTATAAGAGCAAACGGATTAGCTAACTAAGAATGGATACATTCATAGTACCTGAAGGAGGCAATGTTGTGTCATGGCTCGGTAACAGGCTCTATAACTCTTCATTGTGGGCTTGTCTCCTAAGCAGTATCCCCATTTCTTCACCATGTGAAACCGCTTGGCGTGCCAGATGTGTGTTTCCAGCCAAATGTTCTTCTTCTGCCTGCGGTTGAACTCCAGCACCAAGTTTGTATGGCGGCGCCTGGCTTTACGGCACTTGCTCTTTGGAAGTGCTTTTTTCTGATGTTCAGGTTTCTCCGCCTACGTTGTTGAAGCAAGGGATAATATCATTCACTGCACTGTTTATTAAATTCAAATAACTTGTGAATTGTGATCTGGGAAGGAACGGGAAGAAGACAGAGTGACCCAAAAGGATTATCTTGGGGGAAAAAATCTCAAGAATCACCAGCAAAAAATAAGAAGTGGGAGATGGGGAGGAATATCCAAATATTCCACAGAGACCTGTCATATTGGGGTTAGGAATTCTGTAATTTAAAAAAAAAAAATCACATTTTCTTCTAGAAACCACCTTTGGAAACCTGGATGATTCTATATATCAAGAAATCAACTTTCAGAATTCTAAACATGGCCATGTTGGCTGGAGAATGCTAAGAGATTGAAGTCCTGTATATGTGGAGGACATCTAGATCAATGCTTATAACACTTGGCAGCTTTAAACTGTGAGGACTTCTACTCCCAGAATTCCCTAGCCAGATTGCTAATGTGCACAGGTTACCTAGTATGCAAAGTATTAAGAAAGCTAAAGTGGGTAAGTAAGAAAAAGAAACTCACTTCTATTCTGGCAAGTTCACGGAGACGTCGTGGCAAACGTTTAACATTATGGCTCATAGCTCGCCTCCTCATATGTCTAGGCAACGACTGAAACACCAAAGTATTGGATGACTTCTGTTTAACAGCCTTCAACATAGCCTTAATTTCAGCAGCTCGAGCTTGCACAAAAGGAGACACTAGAAAAGGATATTTTGCTTAAAAATGCAGTTTGACAAAGAGGCAGTATTCTGTATTCTGAAGCAGATTTTCCCAAGAAAAATGATCCTCTGACCTGCCTATTACTTCATCTTTACTTCTTCTTTCTTTTTTGGAAAAAAAGTTTTTTATTTTTAAACAAACTTAAAACATAAAACAATTATCATCCATTACAATTACAGAAAGTGTACTGATCGGTTACTTCATCTTTACTTCTGTTTTTGGTTATTTACAATTTAACGATGCTGATTTAAGCACCTGCTAATTCAATGCCAATGTTTGCTTATGCTTTGGGGAAAAATTGTTATTTGCATAATCTAAGAATCATTTTACTGAAGAATATAGAATCCAGCGAACTACATTTGTTTTGTCAAAATTAGAAACAAAACTTCCAATATTTTTCTTGTGGCCCTCCTAAGGATGAGCTCAAGGTTTGCTCTGGGTAATTTTAGGAAAGGTCTACAGATAGACTTTTCCTAAAGGAAGGTCTACAGATAAAGCACAGCAGGGGAATGGAGACAAACTTCATAGCAAAATCTAAGATCAGTTCAGGCCAGATTAAATATGACTGCTCTTGCCTACTTTATAGCATCTAAATGTAGCATTTCACAGATGGCTGGCTAATCTTGGATACTCACCCGTTATGCATTTTGGCATTTCATGGGAAACTTTTTGATAGAAGCCTTGTTGTGAAGTTTCAAAATGCAACTCTGTTGATAAATCAGGGGAAAGTTTTATATTATAAAATGATTAAAACATAAGGAGCATACATAAAAATTTAGCGGCAAATGTCTATTTGATAAATTAAGTATATAAAAATATATATTCTGTCATTTTCTTAAAAAGTTTGAGATTATTTATACTTCAGTGTGTTGCCACACTACAGAATATATCTGTATAGTAGTACCCTTTACATGTAAGTTATGTTTATCAGTACTGATCAAACAGATTCTTTAAATAGTATTCATACCAAGAATAACTATTAAACCCAGATATGGTGTAGTAACTATTAGAACCAGTTTGGAGTAGTGGTTAATGTACCAGTCTAGAAATTGGGAGACTGTGTGTTCTGGTTCTACCTTAAGCCCAAAGCCATCTGGGTGACCTTGGACCAGTCACTTTCTCTAACCTTCAAGCAATGACAAACCACTTCCGAATTTTGACTGATCTAAAAGGCTAAGCAGGATTGGATTGGATAAGTAGTTAGATGAGAGACCCCCCTAAATTATTCTAAGGTTGTAGATTGGGCTGGAAACAAACAAACAAAAATATATTGGAAGGAGACAATGGCAAATCACTAGAAACCACAAGATCATGAGTTCCAGTCCACCCTTACACTCAAAGCTGGCTGGGTGACAGTTACTCTCTTTCAGCTCAGCCCAACTCATAGGATTCTTTTTGTGGGAAATCAGGAAGTAGGAGCATGATGTATGTCACCTTGAGTTGTACAAAATAAAGATGGAATATAAATCAAATCAAACAAACCAATCAATAAACTCCCAGGAACTCTATATAAACTTGGGAAAATCACTGTTTGTTCTTAGTTTTAAAAATAACTTGAAAATGGAAAAAATACTAAGTGGCAATGCCTTGGTCTTTATGTTCTACCTGTGATTCCAAGACTATAAGCTAGACAGTGAAGCTGAATGACAAGCAATATTATTATTACTCTCTAATGACCACTAAAAGACCTCTTGACAAATTTCTTAGATTTATTTTAAGAAGTCCAATACTGATTTAACTACTAAACATAACAAATACCTTGTTTCTTCCGCTGAGTTCTTTCGCCTCCATTCCAAAAATATGCTTCATTATGACTTGGCCCAGCATCAAAAGGATAGGTCACACTTGCAGGTTGATTTTTCATTTTCTTGCCCCTTCTTTTTTGTTTTGCGTTTGACATTTCTGCAGTAGAAAATGCCGCATAATAAAATAGCCTTTATCTCCAGTGGTTTGAAAAACACAACAGAAGTCATCACACACATGCAGTATTTTAAAGCTGCTCATTATTTACATTTTTCAACATTCTTTACTAAAAGAGCAGCTTTAAAAAGTTATTACAGAATTAACAGTAACAGCCTATCCCCAAAACTGAATGGCACCACAACACTAATGTACAAACATAATAAAATTCATTAGCACATACTATACGTATGTAATTACATTGCTTCCTTTTCACATCTCTGGAAGCATTTAGAAACATTTATACAAAAATATCAAATTAAAAAAATGAGGTGTAGTGAATGACAACTCTTGCAGTTATGCGCACTGAAAAATCTTTTGCATTTACATGCATTACCCTCAAGGGTAATATGGTTTTAAATATGGTTCAGCCAAATTTATTTAATTTGTTTTATCTCTATTTTAAATTTTGTATTTATATGTTTTATTTTATGGCTGTTCACCGCCCTGAGTCCTTCGGGAGTAGGGCGGTATACAAATTTAATAAAATGAATGAATGAAGCTGCAGTGAAATATGTCAGCATCAGTCACGGTGATGCTGCGCAAAAGCTGCTGCTGGATTTTTGCTGCTTTGGTTCAGGCACAGTTTAGTAATGCTAACGAAGAAGAAACCACAGGAAGGATTTTTGCTAATCCCCAGAACTGGTGCTGAAAAATGGGGCGTAGAGCATCCTTTCACTAACAGTTAAATTTCTGCAGCCTCGCCGCGTACCCAACAGAACACCAGCAAGGATTCTAATGAAGGAATTTTCTACCACCCAAAAAATCATCAACCCAAACTGGACTCGCCCCAATGAACATTATCCTACATAGGATAATCAATCACCCAACTGAAACCGGGCATCAATTCCTGAACGTAGGCAAGCCCTAAAAACCACTGCTGAAGCCCCTTCTCACTCACACAGGGGCAGCTTCCCAAAGGGCAGTTCAGGGCTAAAGAGCAATGCGCCCTCCCAGCCACACAGTGTTTTTTGGTGGCGGACATTCATCCTATGTGATAAGCAACCAAGCCTCCATTCCTCGTGGCCCAGCCCACAAGTTCTCCCGCTGTGCTGCAGAGCCAACCTTTCCTCTCCTTCAACCGCCATACCTATTTTTGCCCATCCGGGGGCCAAAGAGCCACTCACCTGCCGCGTCCTCCTCGCACGAGGCTCGCAGCCCGGACGGAAGAAGGCGGGGCCGCTTCTCTCCTGGGATCCGCTTCTCTCTTTCCACCAATCGCGTGGCAGCCGCTTCCCCAGAAAGCAGCAGCCTTCGAGACCAGCTCCTGCAACGCCTCTTACCTTGAAGACCACATCCCCCAGAATCCTTCGCGGCATCTACGGTGGCCCTAAAAACGGTTCTTGGAAAAAACCGCGCGCGCTTTTTGGTTCTGTTGGCCATGGGGGCGGCGTCGGCGAAGGAGGCGGGGCAGGGCTGAGTTTGGGCTACGGGTAAAAGTTCAGGAGCAGCGAAGCGTTGGCTTTGTTGGCTTGGCAGTTGCCGAAGGAGGGCTTGTTCCGCTGCTTCTACCGCTATGGCTACGTTAGTGAAGAGAATCATCAGTACTGCAAGGGCTCCCGCTGCTATGGGTCCCTACAGGTAGGGTGGAAAGTGAAAAGTCCTTTTTGACATAGCTTTAACCTGTGGAACTCGCTGCCACTAGAAGTGACCTCTGCCCAATTGGTTCTTCCCGGGTCGATTCCAGCGGGGAGAGGACGGATTACAGCAACTTCTGCACAGGGAGGAACGTCAAATGGGCTGAAGTTTATTCCCCAAGGTGGGAAGAAAGGGAACATGTTGAACATGTAGTCTACAATAACTTAATTTGGCAACTCTAGATGTTATATTGAAATGCAGTAATGAAAGACATTTAAAAGTATGTAGCCTTAAAACTAGTGCCTTGATGCAGATGCTCAAAAGCATTGCAAGCATCTGAAATGTGTCCAGATTTAATATTGTAAAAAAATAAGAATACAAATGGGTTTGCTGTTGCATAGATATAAAACATATAAGTAATGGATAAGATGCCTATTAAGCATATATCTATCAAGCAATGTTTATAAAAGCCTGTTGAAGACTTTCCAGGAATCTGTTTTCTGTTTTCTCTGAGGGGCAATACCAAATTGTTTGGAGCAAAATCCACTGGACTCAATGAAAATAAATTCGAATAAATTCCTGTGGAAGGATAGCTACCGAAGCCAAAGTGCAAACACTTTGGCCACTTAATAAGAAAAGAAGATTCATTTGAAAAGATCCTGATGTTGGGAAAGACTGAAGGCAAAAGGAGAAGGGGACAGCAGAGGATGGGATGGTTAGATAGTGTCAGTGACCCAATGAACATGAATTTGGGCAGGGCAAGGGAGACAGGTGTGTGTGTGTGTGTGTGTCTGGTGTGCTATGGTCCATGGGGTTGCGAAGAATTGGACACGACTTAATGACTGAACAAGACCAACCTTACACTTGTTTCGAGCACATCATCCCTAAGACTGCAATCTTTATCTGAGAGAAGCTGAACTGAATGTAGTAAATTTTTATTTTTGAGCAGAGTTATAGAAATGCGCTATTGATGTTGCTAGGAATGCCACAAAACATAAGTATTGTTAAATTTTAAATTGTGATATATTTTTGTCCTATAACCTCAATGTAGCATTGTAGATTCTTTAAGTCAGAGGCTCTCAATCTTTTGGGCACCAGGGACTGGTTCCATGGAGAAAGGTTATTCCATGGAACAGAGGGGTATGGTTTTGTGTGCTGCCTGCATCCCGTAGATGGGGCTTCACTTGTTTGTGTGGCCCAGTTGCTAGCATGCTGTGGACCAGTGGAGGTCCATGGACTGTGGGTTGGGGACCCCTGCTTTAAGGTATCTCTGCTGAACAGGTACAAGGGTTTATTTACTTAAGGTTCTGGAAGTTTTGCTGCATTTTTGTTATTCTTGTTAAATGGTTGAATCAACAAAATAAATTCTTATTTATCTGGGTCACAATATTAGAAAAAAATGTATAACTTGCGATTCATTTTTCTTACATTTACATTTTCATTATCTCTTACTTTGTATTTTTACGAAATAATTCTTGAGTTGTGTAGAAAGTCAGCACCCACCCTCCTAGAGAATGAAATTCTTGGGGAATATTAAAAAGGCAGCATAGAATGTTTCCCCTAAAGAAGAAATGGGAAAAAATCTTAAAGGAGGCAGAAACCAGCACCAGTGTCCCTGCCCTAAGTAGAAAGTGAGGAGGCCAGCTTTTAGAAATGCAGATTTGGAAATCGATTCAGAAAGACTGAGTCAGACAGAAACTCCAGAGAAGCAATTAAGATTGACATGATTAACACACGAACACTTAGGATTTGCATTTCCCCTTCTGCCTACAGAGCCAGCCATGACACCATAGGAATCTGACAACAGCCATTAGAATATTAAAGGACATGTTCTTCCACAGGAACAGGAAGCTCAAATACAAAGCCCAAAGGTATAAAAACCCACCCACTCTCAACTGCATTTGGTCAGCTGTCCCAGAACTGCATGCTGTGGTTCTGTTCATCAATAAACTTTCTTTCCAATCAGCCTCCATATTGTTTCCAACGCCTTTCTCCTGGCTTGGAACTGATGGATTTTTCCTTCCTACAGTTGCTCAACTAACATAGTTAATGAATACTGTAAAGTTAAGATTGCTACTCCTGTTTGCTAGAATTCAGATTCCTCAGGGTCTTATTTTTTGAAGTGTGCAAATTAAAACTTGCAAAACAATACTGTGCCTATTTTATCTTCATGTTTATTAAAATAATTTTTAATACTACATTACTATTTTTCTGGGTTTTTTAGTCCCCCAAATCAATGTATTATAGAAGCTTACTCTATAATTAGTTTAAAGGAAATCTTTAATTCACTTCATATTAAAACTAACAGAACTCTGATTAGCAATATCCTCTTTTATGCAAAACTAAGGATTTGCATAGCAGCAGTGAATGAGCTTAAATGCTTGGATGTGACTGCCAGTCGGAGAATAGGATTTATAAACTATTCAGATTGGTAGGAAGCAGCTTTGCAAATTCACTGTGCTCACCTGATAGGACACATTATTTTAATTCAGAATATTCACTTGGGATTCACTTTACTTTTTTCTGCATTGGTTGACTACTACCATATATAAAGAGACTCGGACAAAACTACTTATTATTATAGTAAATAATCATAATAAACATGAATCAGCTATGCAATAATTGTAAATGCTAGTCTGGAATATAATAAATAGGATAGTTATACCTTTTTGCCATTTCCATTGTTTTTGGTTCAGGCTACAATATTTTAAATATTTGTTCAAATAACTAATAAAAATATGTTCATAGCATTTTTCATCCTCATTTGCCTTGGGATGAGGAATATTTGGATTCTTTTTTCCCCCCTGCTCAAGGATACCTAAATTTGGTTTCTTTATTTCTAACCTTTCCAGTAACGATGTGTGAATTTTAATCATTATTGTCAAAATTTCTTAAAATTGTAGAATGGAAAACTGTACAAGCAGATAAATTGTGCTAGTAATTGGTTCACTAAGAAAGAAGACTGGCCTGCTGTTGTTGCATTTTAGTCATCTGTAGAGATGCTGCCCAGACTTCAAAAAACTAATTAGTGTAAATTATAATGTGTAAAAAAGAGCTAATCTTTTCTCAAGGCACAGCTTCAGGAGGAGGCTTTTATGGGATCTAGTGGTTTTTTAAAATTTGTTAGAAGTTGCTTGTATGACAGAAATTTTTTCTTGCCAACAATTCATGGATGTTAGTCTATCATAACCCAAAATCGGGATTCTGGTAGCGTCCTTTCCAAGTAACAGATTTTATTAAAGGGCATTAATTACTATGAACTGCAGCTCACATCATCAGATCTGTAGTATAGTATAAAGTTGGGCTCTTAACTCCTGCCCTAGTATGTTCTTGGCCAGATGGAAAATAGCGTGAGGTGATCGGACTTTCAATTAAGCTGTCCTGATTTAGAAGGATATGACCTATAGAGCAAGCAGACCAGGGGTGAAATGCTCCCGGTTCAGACCGGATCAGGTGATCCGGTAGCGGTCGTGGCGGGTGGTTTGGAGAACCAGTAGCGATGGCGGCGCGAGGCTCCACCCACCCGCCCGGTTGTCGTTTTAACCAGGAAGTAATGTGTTTTTTAAGTAATGTGTTTTTATTGTTTTACTACCAGTTCTCTGGAACCAGTAGTTAAAAATGCTTTTAAAAGAGCCTGGTGGTGCAGCAGACTAAAGCACTGTTATTAACAGTTATTAACATCAGCTGCCTGCAGTTACTGCAAGTTCAAATCTCACCAGGCTCAAGGTTGACTCAGCCTTCCATCCTTTCTAAGGGAGGTAAAATGAGGACCCAGATTGTGGGGGCAATAAACTGACTTTGTACAAAAATATACAAAAGTATGAAGGCTATTGCTTAACGCATTGTAAGCCGCCCTGAGTCTCCGGAGAAGGGCGGCATATAAATTAAATTTTTAAAAAAGGGGGGGGGAAGAAATGCACCTAGAAACACTCATAAGCCACTTTTGGAAAATAACTTAATGTGTTCTAGATGGGAAAACAGCAGCATGGCTATTGATCTGAAAGCCGCTTTCTGAAATCCTACTATCACTTACAAGAGAACAATGCCACTATCAAGCGAAACTGGAAAAGTGAGAGACTTACTCCGATTTCTATCTGTTGCATATAACTCTCCCTCTGGTCTTTTCCTGCCATTGGTTACAAGCCTGCAACTTCCCCCATTCTGGTGCAATTGATTTGCTCCTGGTGATTCCCCCCCACCCCACCGCACTCTAAGGTTAGAAAAGGGGCGGATTGGAAGACGCAGTTTCTTACTTACGGTAGAAGCCTGAAAGCCCCAAACTTCTGTTGTTGCTCTTTCTTTGGGAAACACCATAATGAAGCCGCTTCACAGCAGCCTCCTGCAGCTCTGGCCTTGAGGATCTGTTTCAGTGAGTGTTACCTTCCATTTAGCCACTTCTGCAGGACTTGATCATCTCCAGTTAGCTCTCCTTGTCAAGCGAGAATTTTCCCCCAAATGTCCCATTGGCTCCAGTTCTCTTTATACGCTCTACCCAAACTCCCTTCCAGATATGCGGTGCAATCTTTGGGGAAAATCTTTTGAGGCAGAAGAAAACATCTCTTTTGCAACTTGGATTCTTTTTCCAAGGCAGCGTTTCTCAATCTTGTCCACTTTTAAGATGTGGGGACTTCAACTCCCAGAATTCCCCAGGGACTGGGAAACTCTGGGAGTTGGAGTCCATACATCTTAAAGTAGCTAAGGTTGAGAAGCCCAGTATTAAAGGATCCAAATATGCCTGTAAAGCAGGGGTGAAATTCAGCAGGTTCTGAGAACCAGCAAATGCCATTTCTGGCTGGCCCCAGAGTGGAGTGGGAATGGAGATTTTGCAGGATCCTTCCCCTGGAGTGGGTTGGGAATGGAGATTTTGCAGGATCCTTCCCCCTGCAGTGGGGAGGGAATGAAGATTTTTCAGTATCCTTCCCTTGGAGTGGGGTGGGAATGGAGATTTTGCAGGATCCTTCCCCTGCCAAGCCCGCTAAGCCACACCCACCATGCCCACCAAGCCATGCCCACAGTACCGGTACTAAAAAAAATTGGATTTCACCATTGAAGCAGACCCAATCTTTTGGCTTGTCTGGGCCGCATTGAGTGAAGAAGAATTGTCTTGGGCCACATACTAAATATATAATATAATTAATTTATATAAATAACACATTTCTTTTTTATAGCTTTTACTACAAATTGTAATAATCATGTGAGGTGACATTACTAGTTGTCCAGGTCCCTGGGTTGGACACACTTGCTATAGAGAAAAAACACAAAGATGATATATTTTTCACTGAGGGTTCAGTAGGTAGAGACCATTCATAACTAAGAAAAAATGAAGAACCGGAAGATGTATTGATAGACACATCAGGAAATAGACGTGATTGAAATAGGGATATTTCATACTGGCATGTTTTGTTTAAGATCCCATTTGTAGGAATAGGATAAGACAAATGGTAATGGCAAATTTATAAAAACAAACACATGTTTTGAAAATTATTAGAAGCTAAGCTCAATGCCATGCATTCATTAGTGAAACTTTATTTTTCCTATACAAAATTGACTCTGGATTTTTTAAAAATTAAACTTCCAGTAATGTGACCATGTAAACAGAAATGTTGGTTTCAGTCTATATTTATCTCATTTAAATTGACTTGAAAGCTTCCCTGTATGAGCATTGCAAAATGCTGCCTCAAATTAATTGGTTAGTGCTCTAAACTAAAGAATTTAAGAGGTACTTGCTGAGCTGGCATGCGAGTTAAGGTGTGTTATTGAACAGTCAGAAATCAGGTCAGAAGAACCATAAGAAGTCTTGGGAATTTACTTCCCAAATAGCCATTTGGTTAATGTCTGTTATTTTATAATATTTAAACCCATCCCAATCCTGTTAACATCAACTTTGCAGACTATTGATTAGTTGCCATCATTTATTTCTTTTCAGTAGCATTAACATCAATACCAAAAACTTCCAACAGAACTTAGATTAGGTCTTATTTAACCAAAAACCCCTCCCCACAATAAATAACAAAGACAAAAAATGGTTCCATTGTGTTTTTAAAGAAAATATATTCAGAGAGTCGTCTACAACCACAATTAACTAAAATTTCCATGCTAAGCAAGATGATTGATAAGTGAGTTGTGCCCAATTACACTATGTTTTTTGCCATGGTTGTTAAGTGAATCACTGTGTCAGCGTTCCAGAAAACCCCGACTCCCCGTAAAGACGCAGAAGCAGGCATTTTCCAAAGTTCTCTTTACTAGAAATAGGTAAACTGGCACATCTGGGAAATCCCGAATCTGAAAAGCCCGGGCTTTCCTTTAGTAATACAAAGCTCCCAAAACCACCCCCTTTCTCCTCAATCGATCACATGCGCCAATTACTGTCCGTTCCACCTCGACCCAGCACCTGACCCTCCTCCTCCAGATGCTGGATCACCCTGACCTTGACCGATAGGAACAATGCCATTATGTCTACTAATTCTCTTCTCCTAAATCCCCCCTCCTACTTTCCCACACATGAGGAGGTGGCAGCATTGAAGCTTCCGGCCTAATATGGCTTCCAAGGCTGACACACTGCAGGTGTTCAGTGAATAACATAGTTGTTAAGCCAATCCATTTCCCCCCATTGACCTTGCTTGTCAAAAGCCACCTGGAAAGGTTGCCAATGGTGATCATAAGACCTTGGGATGTTGCAACCATAAATACATGCCAAGTGCCCTAATTTTAATCATGTAACCATGGAGATGCTGCAGTGGTGTTAAAGGTGTAGCCTGATTGTAAATCACTTTATTCAGTGCCATTTTAACTTTGGATGGTTAATAAATGAATGGTTGTAAGTCGAGGACTACCTGTAAGTACCGGACCACCCCCACCCTATTGGCCTTCCAAAAAGCAGTGAAGACCTGGCTTTTCCGGCAGGCCTGGGGCCGCTGATCTCGCTGTTGCGATCTTGTGAGATCCAGCCATAAATGGTGTGAATGGGTTTTAATTTTTAAATGTTTTTATAATGTTTTTTTTTTTAAATGCATTGTAAGTCGCCCTGAGTCTCCGGAGAAAGGCGGCATATAAATTGAACTAATAAATAAATAAATAAATAAACTTGCCATGTTAGCGTTGCAATATGACTAATGCTATATTTAAAAGCATATTTATATAGTATCCTATAATTTGGAAGGAGGGTATTAACATCTATTAATGTTAATTAATAGATGCAACATTTAATACTCTCTGATTCATATTCTTTTGAACTAAATTCTTGCTGCGTAGGAATTGACATTGATCAAACAAAGAAGTCTTTATAAGCCAAAAGATTTATTCTTCAGCATTGAACAAATATATATGTTCAAAATAAAAATCCAAATTGGTTTCTCTGGTTTTCCTCCATGGAGGGAAACTCCATGGAGGGAAACTCCATGCAATAGGCTACCTGTGTTCACAGAGAGAAAGAAAGTGGTGAAAATAAACCAGGCTTCTAAAGGTGGCCTAGGCTTTTTTTTTTTTTTTAATTTGATTTATATGCCGCCCTTCTCCGGAGACTCAGGGTGGTTTACAATATGCTAAGCAATAGCCTTCATCCTTTTGTATATTTATACAAAGTCAGCTTATTGCCCCCACAACTGGGTCCTCAATTTACCTACCTTAGAAAGGATGGAAGGCTTGAGCCTGGCAAGATTCGAACCTTTTTGTTACTAGTAATAATATAATATATGAATGTCATATACTACTGCATATGAATATAATTATATGAATATATAAATATTTATATATTCAAATAGCAAATCAATGTGTCTTGTTCTCTTTCCTGATTCCTATTTTTCCTCCTTTTAACTATCTTAGCCAAGCAGTGTTAGTAGATCGGACCATGTATATCGCAGGGCAGCTTGGTATGGATCCCTCCAGTGGGCAACTCGTTCCAGGAGGTGCAAAGGAACAAACTCATCAGGTGAAATGTGATCTCACTTATTCTACTAACAAGTCTAAGATTACTATTATGGCTGGTCATATAGTCAGCAAGGTGTTTAGACTGGATTTGGGATGTGGGCTAAGCAGATGTTATTGCTTGATGATGATGATTAATGGAAAGAACAGCTCCACAAAGTTCAAAATAGAGGGTCTGGTATTATATTTCATTATGGAAATAGACATCATTATTTGAGCTCAGTAGAGCTGAAATAAAACACATTCCCTACTTGTAATTTCAGAGAAGAGGCATCCTGTCAGCAAAACAAAGAGTGGCTGAACTAAATCGCCCCATTCCCCAGTGCCAAATATTTAATTGCTTTTGCCTTCTGACTTCCATTGACAAAATCATCAACTTTTATCTGCCAACAAATGTTTGAATTAAAACTGAGTGACCTTCCTGATATTGTGGTTGTGAAAAGGGAATTATGCTGGCTCACTACAGCTTAAAAGGCACAGGACACAAACATCATGCCCTGTGTGGTTTTTTTTTTTTTTTTAATAAACAAACCTTTCAGGGACAAGAAAGTATTAATGTAACTTTCCTAAAGCTTTTGAGAAGGTAATACATTAAGCAATAAACACTACTTAATATCTGTGTATATGTTGGTTGCTATAATAGACTGTTAAATGAAAAGATATACAAACAGTTGAACTGGCTGTGTAAAATAAAGATCCAGGTAATTCTATATCTTCCAGGAACCACTGCAAACTCTAGCACAGGGTAGAATACCTGCCCTTTTTTTTTTTTTTTTTAATTTGATTTATATGCCGCCCTTCTCCGGAGACTCAGGGCGGCTTACAATGCGTTAAGCAATAGCCTTCATACTTTTGTATATTTATACAAAGTCAGCTTATTGCCCCCACATACCGGGTCCTCATTTAACCTACCTTAGAAAGGATGGAAGGCTGAGTCAACCTTGAGCCTGGTAAGATTCGAACCTGCAGAAATTGCAGGCAGCTGTGTTAATAACAGGGTGCATTAAACCACTGTACTACCAAGGCTCCTTAAATAGTTTTCCACACTATTTCTGTATTTCAAATTGTGTTTCCTTCAGGATTGCCCTATAGATGGCAGTCTAGCATAAGGAAAAGAATACAGCTGTTTCTATATGTAATTGCCATTCCTTGCACACTTACTCTTCTATCTTGACAAAGTTGATTTCAGTGAACTAATTGAATCTCTGAGGGGTCCTTGGTACTCTCTGAGCTTGATTGTTCTCTTGCAGATGTTTCATTACCCAAATAGGTAATGAATCACATGCTAGTCTGATGATGTTACCTAGTTTGGATAATGAAACATCTGCAAAAGAACAGCCAAGCTCAGAAAGCACAAAGGACCCCTCAGTTCAACTCTGAGCTACAAATATTCTCCATTATTAGTAACTGAATCTCTCTTCACTGGGACTTCCATCATTTCATGTTTTCTTAGATAGTATGTTTTCATTATCCTAGGCCAGTGATGGCTAACCTTTTTGTCGTCACATGCCAAAAGTGAGGGGGAGCGCGGGGAGGTCGCTCATGTGCGTGCCCACACCCATAATTCAATGCACCCCGCCCTCGCGCATGTGCATGTGAACCCCCACGCTTTTAGCACGTGATGGCACAATGGGCCCGGTAGGCCCGTTTTTCACCATCCCCAGGCTCCAGATGCTTTCTAGGCACCTGGGGAGAGCAAAAACGGCCTTCCCTACCCCCCGGAGGCCCTCTGGAGGCTGGAAACAGCCCACTTCCCAACTTCCGGTACGACCAGAAGGCCCAAAAATCAGCTGGCCGATGCATGCATGTGCACTGGAGCTGAGCTACAGCAACGCTCGCGTGCCCACAGATATGGCTCCGTGTGCCATCTGTGGCACTCGTGCCATAGGTTTGCCATCACGGTCCTAGGCTGTTCTTGCATATATTTCATGATGTTTTACTTTTGTGTTTGCATATGATTACCATTGTACCCTGTTCTGAGTTCAAGGGATGATGTGGTCATGTTCAAATAAATATTGTCCTCATTAGGCCCTCCAAAACATTGGGGAAATTCTGAAAGCTGCTGGCTGTGACTCCTCTAATGGTATGTTTACATTCAAATAAATTAGTGAACTTATCTATAAATGTATATAGAGAAAAAGATGTTTTCTGCCTAATGAGAAAGAAGAGCTATTAATTTATAGTTCTGGATAAGTGTTGTAATGGTACCCCGGCTGTTCCTCCATATAATTTTTGTATTTAGTGTGTTAAAAAAATTATTATGCTGGTTTTGCTTAAGATTTTTTTTAAAAAAAATATGTCTAGACTTTTTGAAGAAAAGTTGTATATAAGTAATTTAAATAATACATATTTTGTATCACTTCTTGGAACAGTGGATTAGTACTGCAACTTTTCTGTCTGGTAAAACTACGGGTATTTTGATAATCTCTCCCCTCCAAGATAGTGAGTTTTTGGTTTTTGGAGATTATTAGTACACTTTTTCTTTCTTAAGAGTTTTCTCTGTTTTTCAGATTGTCAGATTAAATGACAATCAGAATTAATGTTCATAATACTATTTTTTTTCTGGGTCAAAAATCACATTTGGCCTTCATGTAATAGGGTTAGGGTTGCACACCCAAAAGTAATGGTTGGGGCCAAGATAACATAAAATTTCACTCCATTAACATTGAAAGGTAATTAAAACTTGTTTCTATGAACATTTTTCAATCCACTATCATTGTTCCCTGCATGATGATGATGATGATGCTCTTTTTATCCCACTTTTTATATAACTCAATGTGGCAATCTTACCTTTCTCCTCCTATTTTCCCTACAACAAGAACAGTGGGTTTGGTTCAGAGAGTGGGACTAACCCAAGTCACCCACCCAGCTTTCATGTCTAAAGGAGTCCTAGAACAGGGGTCTCCAACCTTGGCAACTTTAAGACTTGTGGACTTCAACTCCCAGAATTTCTCAGCCAGCAAAGCTCTGGGAACTCTGGGAGTTGAAGTCCACAAGTCTTAAAGTTGCCAAGGTTGGAGACCCCTGTCCTAGAACACTCTCCTGGTTTCTAGGTCAGCAACTTTAGCTACTGCAACCAAACTCAGCATACTCAGTTTGATTAAGTTATTATTTAATAATGTCTGGAAGTCTCTGGGGGCCAAATCCAAGACTTGGGGAGAATGTGTGCAGTCTTTGGTCCATAGATTGCACACATCTATTTGTAGAGAAGCTCTTCACAAGTTGTTGCCCTCGGGAGATAAGATGTACAAAATTCAATAATATCTAGGCATCTTGATCGTTAGAAGGATTATAGGAATTGAAGTCCAGCACCTTCAAAAACCACCAAAGGTGGTTGAGGTCCAACTCTGTCAACCCCATTTGGAATGGGGGCAGCCTACTGATAAAAAAAGAATCACAATTCCAAAACACTTGCCAGATAAGACCCTTGCAACACATTTTTATGAAGGTTTTCTCAGAAGAAATGCTGACCTACTCAAGTGTGTATGTACGTGTGTGTGTGTATAATACACAACGGTTCAGACTTAATTATATTGACTGCTGAAATGTTTATAGCTAGGTAATGTGAAACATAATTGAAGACAGGATTTCTTCATTTTTAGTGGTAAAAACTACTGTACTGATGACCGACATGAAGGATTTTAGTGATATTAATGAAGTCTACAAGCAATGTAAGTATGGCTATTGACTGCACATTTAATTTATTTACCTTATTTTGTGTTTGGATGGAGATATATCCAAATAGAACTACGGTATAGAAGTTTATGAATTATATTATCTCAAAGTACAAAGCAGTACTAGAACTTGCTAGAGACTGTAAAGGAACATTTGAAGCCTATAATCTGTTAAAAAGCATGCAAATTCTTTCATTTGGCTATACTTTAGCTAGAAAGTGTTTTATGTGGGACTAAAACTGTACTGCTTGTTTCTATAAATCCTTGTGGTTTGTAAGACCTCACTTGGCATTGTTCATACCTGGCAAACACATTTGTTTTGGAACATGCTTTCTTTTGGGAAAAAAAGGAGGGATTTAAATTCTTAGATTGCTGATTTATCCACTTGCATTCTATATTAATTTATATAGAATCAAGAGGCTTTTTCCTTACCTAGCTTTATAACTTGTTATTTAACATAGTTCAACTACATACAATTCTCTACTTCTGCAGTCAGTTATTAATTGGAGCTATTTATCTACTCCATATAGTTTTCAAGTGCAACTTTCCAGCCCGAGCTGCTTATCAGGTTGTGGCTCTTCCAAAGGTAAAAGTATCAGTTCTTATTTCTATAAAAACTAGGAATGAATGTAATGTTTTTTAGATTAGGAAAAAATGCAAACCCTTTTTTGCATTTTGTTATGGTCTTAAATATAATTTAGATGTTGAGAAACTAGCTACGTCTTTTATCAGTGCAATCTTGTCTGTGTTTCTTCATAGATTGTGTGCTGTTTCTTTGTGCATCCTCTCATTTGAATTAAGGGAGTTCCTCTAATTTGCACAAGACATAATATTTTTTGTGATTGCAACATCAACATGGGATAACTCCTGGATGTTCATCAGCAAAGAGAAGATTAAATCCATATAAACTTGGCTGGAGGGGCGAGAGAGAGAGAGAGAAGCCAAATTGGTGCACTCAGATTGATCACAATGCCCTCTGCTCTTTATATAACCTTACAGGATCTGAAGTGCAGTGCCATCAATATACTGATGGTATTTAGCTTTATCTAGCTACCCCAGATTTGACTGGAAATGCTAAATTTATGTCCCAGAACCGGAAGATTGGATGGGTCAAAGCAAGTTAAAGTTGAACCCAAGAAAGATGAAGTTGCTGTTGTTCCTTTGTAAGCTCCAGGGTTTTCTAAGGTGGTGGCACTGCTTCTTTGCAAGCAGGCCTTCAACCCAGGTTCATAGTTCTGCTGAATGTGTACCTGGTACATCAGCTGTGTGACTGAAATGGAAGAACCTGGCTACAGCGATTCATGCCCTTACTTACCACTATCTGATTGAACTTCTGTAATAAACATGGAACATCCATACAGAAGCTGCATTTGGTTCAACTTATTAGTTGGATCAACTTATTATTAGTACTTATTAAGTACTCCTTGTTATTTTGAAATTATTACACGTTTTGCAGGCCCTCAGGAGTTGCCAGTAGAATTTGAAGTACAGTTTGAAATGCTAGTTTTGACAATGAAGTCCAATATGGCTTGGTAACAAGATATGTTCAGAACTCTAGTTTCGTGTGGTGGAAGTCTGAGATGTCTTCTAGGAGAAACTGGTAGCAATGTCCCATTTTCATGAACTAAGGGGACCTGAGGCCAGAAAATGTTACATTTTGGTGATGGCACAGCCTCTCTCAGTAGGGAGATTGGTTCTTTGATAATAGCCTTCCAGAAACTGATACAAACAAGCTTTTCTGGATGGCTTCTGGAACACAGTTGTCATCAGTTATGTTTTAATGATTTGGTTTGTATATTACAGTGATTTTATGATAGGAGAGATTGATTAATTTAGGGTTTACTCTGAAAGTGTTCTATCCTTGTAAACTCAAATTAAGTGTATTTGAATTAAATACATTAAACCAGGGTTCTTCAAAGTAGTCAATAATCACCCCCCAAACATTGATGGGACTATCCTAGGGGCCAATGTTTGTAGGAGATGACCAGGCTGAGCCCAAGAGAGGGGTCAAACACATCATCAGTCTTTAGTCCCTGCCTGGCCATAAGAGATCTAGGTCCAGCCCACTTTGAATTCCATCCCAATATTATCTACTGCCAATTTGCTTTGACTTTAGTAGTTCAGATTCTTATATAGAGCTTAAGCTTGCAATAAACATTTATATTCATTTGAACTGCCTGGATTTCCTGATTTCTCCAGTACTTGACAATGTTCTTGTTATTATTATTATTCATAGCAAAGTAGCATTTATTATTTTCATATTTTAAATATTTAGGGGGGGTGTCAATTCAGTGTCTAAAACACTGAACCTTGGCAACCTGAAGAGGTGTGAACTTTAACTCCCAGATTTTCCTAGTCAGCAAGGCTGGTTGGGGAATTCTGGGAGCTGAAGTCCACACCTCTTCATATCACTAAAGCTGAGAAACACTGATCTAAAACAGAATGAGCTGAAAAATTTGAGGAGCCCTACGTTAAATAAATCAACTCTGCCCTGATTTTATGTGTTATATTTTTCCTTCCAGGGTGCCTGTGTGGAGATTGAAGCTATTGCCATTTCAGGACCCCTTCAAGATGCCTCACCAGCTAAAATCTAACCATTCTGATTTCTTTTGCCATGATCATTCTCACTATAGGATTGAGTTCTGCTACCGATTCTCTCAAAAAATGTTATTCCTGAATTGTGAATCTGACTCATTTAGGGGTATTTGGGTGGGCAGATTGACTCACAGGCACTAGTGACTGTACTATTAAGGCTGTCTGTTTATTCATGGTATAGCAATGTCATCAGTCTCAGTGACTTTAAGCTGTGTGCTGGCTAGCAAATTTTGGGAGTTGAAGTTCATACATCTTAAAATCACTGAGGTTGAGAAACATTGGAGTATAGTATGACTGAAAGACATTACAACACTAAATAATTCAAACTGCTTAAAAGCATATTTTGAGGGGGGAAGCAACAGAACTCTTCAGATAAACTTGACATAGATAAGAGACAGTAGATTTTCTAAAATTGGGAATCAAGATTAACGTCTAGCTGTGTACCACATTAAACATAATTGTATACTTTAAAACATTAGAAGAAAAATCTATGAAGAATAAATCACATTGCTGTAACACTGATCAGTGTTGATAACATCAGTTTTGGCTTCTTCTTTTCTTTTCTTTTCTTTTTTTGAGAAAATTAGCCGTTAAACTTACCAGTTCACATTTTGTCTGATTCACAAGATAATATTCAAAGCTGCTACAAATTTTGTAATGAGAAACATGACAATACATTTTGTGTATATATTTCTACAATTACAATATATATTTCTACAATTAATTGGCTTTTGAAGAGAAATGTTCGATAATTACATAATATCACATTTATTTATTTATTTATTTAAAAGTGTGTTTGGGCTTTCTGAGTAGACCTTCTAATAGTCAGGTGTAGGGATGTGCTCTATGAAGAAGATTCAGTTTGGATCTTCAGTACAGTGGAAAACAGCCTGCCTGTCCAAATTAGAATGTCAATTCAGAAATATTCAAATGTTTTTTTTTCCTCCACAACAAATTGGTATAACTCTGTGTGTGATTGATTGATTTACTAGATATTGTCACAAATCCTTTTACACCAAATTCCAGACAAATAGGCATTTTAAACAGAGCACTAGTATTATGCTAGGTACCCTATTTCTTTTTAATTATCAATTTTGCAATATTAAGATATTTAGATACTCCCTAGAACAAATTTGCCAGCTTTCATATGACTAAAACCAGGGATTGATATTATGCAACTTTTCCCATGATTTTATTGCATCTACCTCATAGTTATTGATATGCAAGCAATAGCATGTTTGTTTAGAAAATGGTCTCCAAATTCCAGCTTGCATAGAATAGCATGAGGGAGAACTGGGCTTTGGTTGCACTTGGGATATGCAGGCCAAAATGTCAGAAAACTAATACTGTCCTTACATGTAATTTGACCATAAGGCAGGATTAGAATTCACTGTCTCTGAGTTTCCAGCCTGGCTGTCATAAACAAATACAGGTAGTACTCAATTGGGACCGACAACTAATTAAATGAAACATCATGGGACAGTGCTGGACATATAATAAGCAAATAATTTGTGGTCATTATCAGTAAGTGGAATAGCATGTGATTGTGATTTGCAAATTACTGCCAGCTTCTCAACTGGTTGTCAGAAGCTGTCTATTAAATTCAAATGGTGATCATGTGACTGCAGGCTGCTGCAACTGTCTTAAATGCATGCTAATTGCCAAATGGCTGAATGGTGATCACATGATTGGGGATGCTGCAATGGTTGTAAGTTTGGGGACCAGCTGTAAATTCCAGTGTAAGTTTCAATGGTTGTTAAACAGGGCAGTCATTAACTGAGGACTACCATAGATCTGGCATAAAGGGATGCAGAGTTTGTGAGCAAACCTGGGGAATTTTTCTGGCTTCCCCATTGACACTGCTTGTCTGAAGGTTGCAAAAAGTGATCACATGACCCTGGGACACTGCAAATATGAGTCAATTGCCAAGCATCTGAATTTTGATCACATGACTTTGGAGATGTTGCAACAGTTATAAGTGTGAAAAAATGGTCATAAATCACTTTTTTCAGTGCTGTTGTAACTTTGAACGGTCACTAAATGAACTGTTGTAAATTGAGGACTACCTGTAAAATTCTTCAAATAATCTGAGATTTGCTGGAAAAGTAACTAAGCTAGAAGTGGGGGGGGGGGTTGATTTCTCTTGCTGACAATTTAATTTTTCAGAACATAGGCAAAACAAGATGATCAGCTCTCCTGACCTAGACCTGATCAACAAGGAGTTGGTCAACTGATTGAAGCTTTTAGGCATTTTGAAAGAAAGTGGCCATGTCAAAGAGTTAACTAGGGAGGAAAAGTGAGAGGTCAGTCACATATCTTGGACTTAGATGAAAAATGGGAAGATGAAATTCTTCACCGTAATTTGGAGAATAGGAGAACCTAAAAAATAAGAATCTGAAAGCACAAAAACAAACAAAAATTCCATAGGAAGGGAAAATTGGAAAGCTTTAAGAGACTTGTGTGGATCGTGATCTGAAAAGCAAAAAAATATTTATGAGAAATATGGGCCGATAACTAAGGTGGAATACTAACATTGCACACGTGAGCTTGTAGGAGCAGACTTGGGAATGCTAAACTCCAAAACGTGGCAAGTCTGGTGAGAAATGCAAAATACAATAGTAGTTTTGTGTGGTGTGCTTGTAATAAAAGAACAGAGGCTATAAACCTGTTACACAAATAGTATACAGGCGAATAAGGAGAAGGTGAAACTCTTTTAACCAGGGGTGAAATGCTCCCAGTTCAGACCAGATCGCCCGATCCGGTAGTGATAGTGGGTGGTTCGGAGAACCGGTAGCAAAAATCCCTGCGCCCCACCCCCCATGCCCAGTTTAGCCATGTGATCATCAGAGGGTTTTTTTTTTTACTTTTAAAAGCATTTTTTCTACAACCTCTTTGGCCGAAAAAATGCTTTTAAAAGTAAAAAAAAGCCTCTGATGATTGCGTGGCTCAGCTGGGATTGTCAGAGGCTTTTAAAAGCCTCTTAAGGTTGTATAAAAAATGCTTTTAAAAGTAAAAAAAAAAAAGTTGGTCACACCCACCCAATCACATTAACCCCCCCACTAAGCCACACCCACAGAACCGGTAGTAACAAATTTTACATTTCACCACTGATTTTAACATTTTTGCATTTAATCTCAGGAGAGAGAACTCTTCCCTAAAAGATAGAAAGGGGGAGGCATAGTTCACAAGGCATGGTAGAACTCGTAATTTAAATGAATTTATCAACAGTCAGATAAATTAGATCTCTCGGAATAGAAGAAGTTGGCAAAAGTGGTTTTGGAATTGCTGATTAGTTTAGTGAAGAGAAGGACCAGGGGAGACATGATAGCAGTGTTGCAATATTTGAGGGGCTGCCACAGAGAGGAGGTGGTCAAACTATTCTCCAAAGCACCTGAAGACCAGACAAGGAATAATGGATGGAAACAAGGAGAGATTGAACTTGGAAATTTTCTGACAGTGAGAACAATCAACCAATGGAACAACTTGCCTTCAGAAGTTGTGGGAGCTTCATCACTGGAAGCTTTCAAGAAGAGCCTGGACTGCCATTTGTCAAAAATGGTGTAAGGTCTGCTTGGGGGTGGGGTTGGACTAGGTAACCTACAAGGTCCCTTCCAACTCTGTTAATCTGTATCTATCTTTGAAGACCCCAGGAGAAAGGGAAAGATACTGAAGATTAGAGAAGAACCAATATTAACTCAGTAAGGGAAAGAGGAAAGATCAGAAAAATTACCTATCAGTTAATGCCTGTACTAAGGAAGACATTCATTCGACAACCCATCATTCGGTACTGGAAGCATTTAGGCAATTTTGTTTCCTGGAACCAGTGTTTGCAAAGAACAAATCATGTTAGGCTAATTAATTTTTTTCTGAGATGATGACGGAACTGCTACACCAAGAGAATGCTATGGATGGGGTGCACCATGATTGCAAAGCATCTGTTAAGTCCTCATGTAAGTGCAGCTAAGGTAAACAAATATGGTATTGCAGTCCGATGGACTTGTAGCTGGATGACCTGCAAGCCCCAAAGGATGCTCATAAATGTTTCTGTATCATTCAGGAGGGAAGTAGAGTGATGTTATTGGCTGCTGCTGTTCAACCCCTTTTTTTAAAAAAAAGACTCACAAGATGAATCAAATGATACAAAATTAAGGGGATTGACATTATGGACAAAGTCACTATTCAAAAGACTCAAATGCCGGGCCAAATCCAATAAAATGATTCATTGTGACAAGTGACCTGCATCTGGGTAGGAAAGATCAGATGAATAGGTTACAGGATTGGACAGAATTGATTCAATGGGAAGGCATGTGAGTGAGATGCATCTAGGAATAGCAAGGCCTGCTAGCTGAACATGAGCAAATAGTGGTATGGCAACTAAATAAAATACAATCTTGGTTACATTAATAAAAGCATTGTATCCAGATCCTTTCCCTTTTCACACAGCATGATAATGACCAGCTGGTTGAGATTAAAACTGAATATTAGGAAATTTCCTAACAGAGTTGTTAGTGGTGATTCCAATGGAAGTTTTCAAATGGGGGGGGGGGGGGAATGGCCATCAATAATTCATTAGATTCCTGCATTGAGCAGGAACTGGATTGGATATCCTATAAGATGCCTTCCATTTCGTAAGTTACATAATTCTAAAATCTATCAGTTACAAAACCTTTCTGCTTTCCTGAGTTATACCAAAAATGTAGTTAATATATTTTCTACAATACCCATAGACATTTACTCAGTAGACTCCCATATTTGGACAACATTACCATATTCCACAAATATATTATTTATTTCAAAGTTTAAGGTTACATTTTAGAGATGTTTGAAAAGGCATGAGACCAGCCATATCGCACAAATAGCAGCAAAGAATAAATGTTTCTGAAAATGAGTGAAGCACAGCTCTGCTCACTTTATTGGTTGCATAGTTTAAAGAATACTGTAATCAATCATTTCATTTTTAGCCTGACATTTGCAATATAATTTTTTTTTAGTAGGCTATCTCCTCTAATTTTTAAATATCAACAATTCATACTAGTGCTCATCTAAGTATTTTGAGGATCACAATCACTATTTTCATTAGTTTCAGGAAATGAAATTTGTATTTTCTTTCCTATATCATATTAAAGGAATAAGATCGATGCTATAAATCAGCCTAACCCCATCTGATCCCCTTTACAGTTCTTACATGTTTACAAGAAACTTCACCTAAGAAATTTAATGCAATTAATCTGCAAAAACTCCACTGGAATTTGGTTATTTTCACCCTAGTTTAGACCATATACATTCTTAGATCTAAGATTATCTATAATCACCTTTACAATTTATATTATTTGTGCTATATTATCCTTCATGTTTACCGTATTTTCTATCTAAAGCAAGTAAAAGTGTTCTGCAATTTGTAGTTCCATTGAAACAATAGCAGGAGGCACTTTCTGGCAGGTGTGATAGTTTAACAATGCAGTTCCTCAGTGGTGCCTTGGCAACTTGATTTTTCCATTAAAATTTCTTAAAATGGTTTTCACTTAGTATTCAGTAGTTGT